CTATGTCAAGCCCATCAAGAAACCTATCTGCTTCAATGAAATCATCTTTCATTCTTCTAAACTCCAGTGAGTAGAATCTCAAACTGTTTAGCCTTTGCACATAAAACAATCCCTCCATACCAGGGATCATCCAAGTGAACCTTCTCTGAACTGCCTCCAATGAAATAACATCTTTCCTTAAATAAGAGGACCATAGTGCTCTCTGTACACCAGAATCATTAGAACCATAGAGGTCTATAGCACAGAAGAAGGCCCTTCAGCCTATCAAGTCTGTGCTGATCAAAGGTAAGCACCTAACTGTCCTCCCATTTTGAAACATAGTCTTGTATACCTTGTCATCGCAAACAAACATTTAAATATTTCCCAAATGTTATGAATATTTCTGCCTCTACTGTCCCTGCCCACTGAGTTCCAGATTCCTATCGCCCGCTGGGTGGGAAAAGAAATTTCCTCACACCTCTGAACCTCCTGTCATAAAACCTTAAATCTATGCCCCCTTGTCATTGAGCTCTACACCAACGGGAAAAGATCCTTTAGTGTACCTTATTTGTGTCCCTCATAATTTTACACTTCTCAATCATGTCTTCCCTCCTCAGTCTCTTCTGCTCCAAGGAAAGCCATCCCAGTTTATCCAATCTCTTAATAACTAAAATTCTCCAGCTCGGGCAACATCCTGGTTTATCACTTCTGCACCCTCTCCCGTGCAATCACATCCCTCTGAAAACGTAGGTTCCAGAAATGCACACGATCGTTGTCTAGCTGTGGTCTAACCACTTTTTTTTAATGCAGTTCCAGCATAATCCCCTTGCTCTTAAACTTTGTGCTTCAGCTAATAAAGGCAAATATCCCAATGCTGCCTTAACCATTTTCTCTACCTAATGGAAGTATTGTTAATTTTGAAGCTACTGAAGTTACAGTAGTTACATTCTGATGCAAGTAATTTTTTTGTGCAACTCTAGGGCATATTTCATGAATACTGCAGTCTGAATGTTTTTTGATTTTATTTAAAATAAGAGCCACTTAAATCAGGGATTCTGGATTTTAAAAAACTCCTGCATTTATGCATCACTATTCATGACCACTGGACACTTCAAAATCCTAACAACCAATGAAGTATAATGACTGAATATGGATTCAGCAAATTCCTGCAACAAGAATGTGAGAATGACTGCATAATATGTTTCTTTTAATGTTAATAGAGGACTCAATTTGGCAAGACTGAAACTCTTAACTGCAAGTTCTGAAAGAGACCTATTTGACTTGACATTAATGTTTCAGTCTCCAAAGCTGCTACCAGACCTGCTTATTATTTACTGCAGTTTATCTTGATTTTGGGTGATCATTTCCCAGAGCAGATAGGGCCGTGGGTTCAGCATGGAGAGATGGCGTGGATTTTTGTGCTCCAACCCTAAAGTGATACTTGAACCCCAGTATGTGCTTCCTACTGAACAATGGTGGTTGTTAAAACAAATTCCACATTTGGATTTGAGTGCTTAATGATTTGGATTTAGTGTAGAATTCGTAGAGTGCGTTTTAGAGATGTGCTATTTTGTAACTGTGTGTATCTGTTTGGTTACATGTAGATCCCAGTACACTATTTAAACAGTGTATCTTCTCATAATGTTTCATCCTCAATCAACTCTTCCAAAACCAAACTGACCTGTTTTTAATTTGCAGAGTCTTGGTCTGCATACATTAGCAATCATCCTGGTTCAGATGATGTGTTCCAACACTTCAAAAGTAATGAATTTGCCATGAAGCATTCGGGGACTTGCTTAGGCTGTGAAAGGCGCACTCTAGTCGATCATTTCTGAAATTCACTCAATGTACAAATGTCAGTTTGAGTTATTCTTCAACAATTTATAATTTTAACTGGATTAAACGAGGGCAGATTTAACTTTTGTTTAATCATGTTTAGATGAAGCTCTCTTTCTTTCTGTAAGAAAGACTAACCACATGGCCCAGCAGGTAAAAGCAAGAGTAAGAAAAATAAGGTCAGAGGTTCATAGCTTTAGGTAGTTTTTGTGGCTGAAGCTAATGTAAACTTAGGCTGACAAATGTGGGGTTGCTCTGAGGCAAAAAGCTTTTTGTACGATCGTGGTTATGTTTTCAATTTGTTTGGATTGTAGCTTTACACTATGTAACAAAAGTATGGATGTATCTGCATATGTATGTATATACATATATTTATTGCCTTGGGATTGAGTTCTGTGATCGGTTTTGTTTGTTTTGATCTTTTCTGGATATATTGAAAGAAAATAGGATATGACACATTCAATGTGTACCTTAGTTTTAAAATACTTTTTGTTTTATGGAGACTGCATAGATTTTTGGATCAGCTAGTCCTCTTATTTTAAGTGGACTTCAGAGGCACGGTGAAGTCCTGCATTAACAAATGGCTCTTTTAATTAAAGCATATGATATGCTATTCAGATCCATCATTTGGGACATTTTGAAACTATGTTAAATCACTGGAAGTTGTCATTGTATATTCCTCAGCAGACACACTTGGATTTTTTGGTGCTGTTATAAGTCAAGATGTAAAAAGCTGACTCAGGCAAGCTATTATAAAAGGAATGATCTCTGTGTTTGGCACGTCCAGGAATGAACCAGGAAATATGAGAAGGCGATGGTAGGAAGATGACCGTTGTTTGTAAGGAAAGCTGTTAGAAATTGGGCATCAGCTGTTTAGCCAATCTGAGATTGATCACATGCTGTTCACGCATCAGCAAACCAATGAGAGCTTAGGATGCCTTTGACTGTGTATGGGACCCTGTAAGGGTTAATAAGTGATGCTTCACGGCCTGGTGTACAAGAAAGGAAGACCAAAGACAAGAATTTCAGTTGACAGAAATGTGCCCAGTCAACCAGCATTGTCCGGCTGTCCCACAGTGTATCAACTAGAAAAACTACTGTGTTTATTAAATATTACTTCACTTGTACTTCAGTTTGTGAAAACATATTTGTACCTGGAACGGGTGTTGTAACTAATCCGGATGAGTAAATTTTGGATTGGCTACTGCAGTTTGCTTCATAATTGTGTTTGATTCGTTTTGATTAGTTAAAACTAATCCCAAAATCTTTCTTATGAGTTAATTTAACTTCGGCTACTTTATGGTTTTGCTTACTTATTTTGTCAAATGGTTTTCCCATCTTTTCTGACTCCCAAGGCTTTTTACATTGTGTGAATTTCACTTTTCTGAAATGTTGATTTGGTTTTACTTCTGGACATGTGCATACTTGGATTATTCTAGCTTGTGTCATGATGTTTTTCAAAATTTTCAGCCATTAGTTTTTTAATCATACATGTGATATCATCTGTTTGGATTTCATCAATATATTTGATAAGCTCCAATATGACAGACTGGTCACAGAACTAAAAACCTGCTGGTTCCAAAGCCAAGTAACAAATTGGTTTCAAGGGAGGAAGCAAGCCTGATGGTCAATGGGTGGTCTTGCAACTGGAAGATTGTTTTTGATGAAATTCTAAAGGGCTCAGTACTTGGTCCCTTTAGTTTACAGTATTGTCAGTGGTTTGAATTTGAATGTAAGGGGTATGATTAAGAAGCATGCAGATGATGCAGGAAATATGATTGTTAATGAAAAAGGTGTAGTTGCAGGAAGTTATGAATGGACTTAGCAGGTCGGCGGTACAATAGTGTTCAATCCAGTGCTGTGAGAAATAAGACAATTGGGTAACTCGAACAAGATGAGGAATGATATATAAATAATAGGAACCTGAGAATTGTGGAAGGACATATCTGAAGGCATGCACTCCAAAATATGTGAAGGTAACTCAATGGACAGATAACATGGTTAAGGCATTGCAAGTGATCTGCTTGATAAACTGAGGTGAAGAAGAATTAGGTGGTTCTGCTGGAATTTAAACAAAAAAACACTGGTTTGGCCACATTTGGAGTGCAACATGCAGTGAGTTCTGGAGAAGATTTGCAAGGATGTTCTCTGGACTTGAGAGTTTTTGTTGTGAGGTGAGATTAGATCTGGTTATCTCGGGAACAGAAGAAGCTAAGAAGCGACTCATCTGAAGTGTATAAAGTACTGGAGGATTTCATTGAAGTGGTTGGAGGCATACCCTGGAGGCATAGATTTAGGTGAGGTATGGAAATTTGGAGGAGAAATTGTTTTGTTCAGCTCACTGCCTGAAAGGGTAACTGAGTACGAGGCACTTTGCACTTATAAAGTACTTTGGCATGAACTCATGCCAAGTGCTTAAATTACAAGGCTGTGTTCCAGGAGCTGGAACATCAGATTATTTTGGCTGGTTGTTTGTTGGCCAATGGCAATTTCTTTGTACTGAAATTATTATTCCTTCTTTCTCTGAGAAATAACACATCACAAAAATCATTTTGGTGGTTATCTAAACAGTTGCTAAGTTATTGTATCTAAATAGGAACAATGGGCGGACTCTTTTTAGGTGTTGTGGCAATGTATGCAATGGCAAGATGATATTGCCCAATTCTGCCACACATGCACAGTTAAGCCCATCTTGACAGTGAGAGAATCTCGCTTCAGCTGTCCATTTTGGCATCATGTGAGGCCATGAACTGAAATACAAGTGTACTGGAAATACTAAATGTGCCTGGTAACATCTGCAAAGATAGAAATATAGCTCATGTTTCAACTCAGACTTTTTTTTTTCAAGGTAATTCTTTATCATCTCCTTTACCATCTAAACAATAGAACATTAATGCATCTTTCTCTCAAAAAAGAATTTTGCTTGTACTGTTGTTTTTTAGAAAGGCAAGCAAAGTGATCTTCGGCAAGACATTCATAAGATTAATTGTATAAGCTGCACCTTCATATACCTTCACATTGTTTTTCACGCCTGTTAAGCGTGAAGTTGTGTCTTTGCATTCATGCTATGATGCATATCATTCTTTTCAATTTTTTTGTATGTGCTTATAAAATCTAAGTTCCTGAAATGATTTAAGCTGCAGCATTCAGTTACATGATGTTAACCTATTTGTTATTATCTCTAGTGAATATGGCTTTGCAGAAAAGGTGGTGGAAGGAATGTCGATTGTGGTGAACTCCATTGCAGTTAAAATTGAAGCAAAAGCTTTCAATACTTCATTTGAACTGTGGCAACTCCAAGGCTATAGTGTGAATCCCAAATGGCAACAGAGTGATCTCCGATTCACAAGAATTACAGATCCAGAGCGAGGGGAGGTAATATCGTATTTCAGTTTTTTTCCAGCTCTTCACTTATTTTTGTCAAATCACTGCAATGGCTTTCACTGACTTAAAAGCAGTGTGATCTCCTAAAAATAAACTAACTACTATAAGTAGACAAAATCTATATTCACCACCTAAGCAAGTCCATTAATTAAACACTGCAGTGTACTTGCTTCCTACAATAGCAATGTTTTCAGTAGCAATAAAATGGGAGCCAATTTAGCTGATTTGTTGTATTTGCCGAATGAATGGCATTTTATGAGTTGAATGATTTGCTATCTTTTAAATAAAAACATTTGCATGAAAGTCTAGGTGGAAATGCGCAAATGTCATTTTGTTAACAAGTGGTTATGCATGAGCCCTACTTAGCTGAGCATTTTTGGTTTCCGAACCAAGTTATTTATAATTGGTCATGTGGTTATGTAACCAGGAATGAAAGTTGTAATATTGGTACTCAAATATAGAATTTAGCGGAGATAAGTAAGCTGCCAAATGTGTGACCATTGTACAATTGACATGATACAGAAATACTTGATGTATTCCTTTGGCTATCACGGGGGGGCTGAATTACACTTGTAGAGCAAAGGCAACTGTTCTAGAAAAGCACAGAAATTGTCAATCTTTTGTCCTTTCGATGCTGGTGTTACTGTAAAATAATTAACTTCTCAACAATCCTATTAACACAATTGATCTCAGCATCATCCGCACTGGATCTCAGTTATAATCGCAAAGCTGAATCAAACTTGACCCCAGCGAACATAATCTACAGCTCGTCTATTCAGAAGCTGAATAATGTTCATGTTAGGGTTTAAACTTTCATTTCAAATGGTGTGTGTTTATTATAAACCATATATTTGGTAACTAATCTATTTTCACTTTTAAGTAGGCCAAAAACTTTTACAGCTATGGGAAATCCAGTTTTAGGTAATATTAGTGACTTTAGGATTTTGGAGCAGAGAAAACTAATGAGCTAAACAAATTGCAGTCTGCTTTGTAAGACTCTGAAGCATCAAACAGGAGAGGGTTCAGAAAAGATTTACCAGGATGTTGCTGGGACTTGAGGATTTGAAGTATAAGGAGAGGCTGGATAAGTTTGGACTTTGCTCACTGGAGCATAGGAGATTGAGAGGTGACCTTTGTAGAGGTTTATAAAATCAAGAGGGTCATAGATAAAGTGAATAGCAAGGGTCTTTTTCCATGGGGTGAGTGAGTTCAAAACTAGGCAGCATATTTTTAAGGTGAGAGGAGAAAGCTTTAGAAAGGACCTCGGGAGCAACTTATTCTCTCACGGTGGTTTATATGTGGAATGAACTGCCAGAGGAAGTGGTAGATGCAGATACAGCTGCAACATTAAAAGACATTTGGACAAGTAAATGGCTAGGAAAGGTTCAGAGGGAGATGGGCGAAATGCAGGCACGTGGGACTAGTTTGGTTTGGGGAAATTTGGTCAGCATGGACTAGTTGGACTGAGTGGTCTGTTTCCGTGCTGTATGACTCTATAAGATTTTTTTCAAAGATAATCGAATGTAGTGTTTGAGCTTGGAATGTTTAGATTAGTATATTTTCTGGCATGGCATTTCAGGGCAAGTTTTCTTTACTTGGAGAATGAAAGTAAGTTGCACCACCTTGCAATGGTAAGACTCCATGCTTATAGAAACATATTAAAATTATGAAGGGAATAGATAAGATAGAAGTAGAGAGGATGTTTCCACTGGCCGGTGAAGCTAGGACAAGAGGGCATAGCCTCAAGATTAGAGCGGGCAGATTTAGGACTGAATTGAGAAGGAATTTCTTCACCCAGAAGATTGTTAATCTGTGGAATTCCTTGCCCAGTGAAGTAGTTGACGCTACTTCAGTAAACGTTTTTAAAAATAAGGTAGTTTTTTTTAACAATAAAGGAATTAAGGGATACGGTGAGAACGCGGCTAAGTGGATCTGAGTCCACGAAAAGATCAGCCATGATCTTATTGAATGGCGGAGCAGGCTCGAAGGGCCAGACGGCCTACTCCTGCTCCTAGTTCTTATGTTATACTAATTGCATGAACTTTGCTTTTTTTAACAACAGTATAAATAAATGAAAGAAATTACCCTGTTGTGGTACTGCTGATCATGAGTCTGTAATTTTTTTAAAAATGTACCTGTCAGACATTCATAGAAAACAACATAACATTGGCACTAGCTACAGCATGGAGCCAGCATTATGGGTGTTGGTTTTTGGATTTTGTTATTTTTAAGTTTAAAAAAACACAGGTGAATAGTACTGTGGCTAAGTAAATTTGAGATTTGAGGACTCTCAGCAAACTGGTTGCAATCTTGTAGAGTCAGAGTCATACAGCACAAAAACAGACTCCTCAGTCCAACCAGTCCATGCCAAACATAATCCTGAGCTAAATTAGTTCCACCATAATTTGCCAATAATCCCTGTTCTTCGTTATATTCAAACAAATTTGCAGTTTCAGTAATCGTGAAACTGTTGAAACTCAATATTGTCAAAGTAAATTGATCAGGAAGTTCCTCTGAGTTGTCCAACTCTTTCTGAGAGACTGCATTCAAACATTTGGAAGTCAGTATAATTTGGAGGGTCCAAGTTTTCATTCTGCAGTTGCAACTGTAAGCTGCCCCACTACCAAGCAATTCAAAAAAGAAACTTCAAAAGCACTCATTTAATTATTTGGTTGCCCTACATATAGATCTGCTTTATTAATTTAGTTTGAAGCATGGAGATTGAAAACTGTAAAGTTATGCATGCAATATTAACCCTGGCTCCGACTGGGTGAAGCCTAATTGTTGGGTACTGGCAAAGGAGACAGCTACAAAATAACATTTACAAGGTGTAGTCCCTGCTTCAGTATGCAAAATGTTTTGATGTCATATCCACATATAATGAGAGCTTTGTTTAATGTAATTCTGTTTTCCCTGCCACGTCAATACATGTCCAGGTTTTGGTGAGCAAATTCCTGTGCTGTTTCAATGTTCACGAATATGAAAACCAAGAAATGGCAGTTAGTTCAGGAATTTGCTTTTTTTTTTTGTTTTCAGTTTGAGGCCTATAATTAGAATTGTATATTTTTTTTTAACAGGTTTTGACTTTTAAGGAAATAAATTGGCAGACACTCCGTATTGAAGCTGATGCAATCCCAGGCGATCAGAGCATTATCAGTACGCCACTTAGACTAATTACCAACCAGTCAAAAATAAAACTTGTACTCAAGAGAAGGGTATGTACTGTTCAAGGAACTTAGTACTTTTTTGCTTATGCCATTCGTATATATAGTCACGAGTTAACAATACAGCTATTCGACTAATATTAAATATTACAGAAAGGAGGTGCGTTTGCATTTGGCCATTTTGGTTTCCAAGTTTTGATTGCATGCAGCTAGAAAAGATGCATATTGTGTGAACATATGATTTTAAAAAATAAGGAGTAGGTCATTTGGCCTACTGCAACTTGGCCGTTCAAGAAGATCATGGCAGATCTGATTGAGGTGTTAAGTACATTTTCCTGCCCGTCTCCATAACTCCTTAAATCCCTTGTAAATCAAATATATTCAATTGGGAATATCTTCAATAATCTAGTTTTGACTGTTCCCCGAGGAAGAAAAGTCATAAAACTAATGACATTGAGAGAAAAAATTTCTGTCGTCTCCATGCTAAATGGGAGACCTGCTAATTTGGAGCTGTGCTCCAGTTTTTTATTGATTCTCCCATGAAGAGGAACATCTTCTGAGCATCAACCCTGTTAAGTCCTCTCAAACTCTGAGCTCCAAAAAAATCACCTCTTGTTCTTCTAAACTCCAGTGAATGTAGCTGCCACTTTCTAAATGTTCTGTCTTACAAATGACCCCTTTATGCCAAACTTCAACTTAGTGAATCTTTTCTGATTGGTTTGGAATATAATTGTGTCCCTTTTTTAAGCTGAGCAAAACTGTACGGAGTGCACTCTCTCTAATGCCCAGTACAGTTATAACAAAACTTCCTTCCTTTTACACGCCACACCTTTTAAGGCTAACATCCTGTTTGATTTCCTAATTATTTGCTATGTCTGTATGTTAACTTAATGTGATTTATGTATAACGATACCAAGCACCCTCTGTACGATAGCATTTTATAGTCTCCCTTCATATGGGTGATAGTCTGCTTTTCTAGTCATGTTGCCAAAGTGGAAAATTTCACATTTTACCATATTATACTCCATCAGAGAACTTTTGCTGCCTCATAACTTGTCTCATATCCCTTTTCACACTCTTGCCATCTTTTTCACCAGTTGCTTTTCTATATATGTTTGTACTGTCAGAAAGCTTAGTGCAGTCCAGTCCCTTCGTCCAAGTTATTAATATGGATCAAACATATGACTCTGGCTATTTCACTGCATTCAGTAAACCTGTTAGGAAACTTTATACTTGTGTATATTTTCAACTGGGAATAATACAGCATATGCGAAGAATTATAACTTCTAGCCAATTAAATTTGAAAGCCATATTTTCCCTTAATTTCTGGAATTTACAGTTTGTCAGCTAAGCTGCACAGTTTTGTAATCTTTATACAAGACTTACTTTGTGCTATCTTGCACTTCAGTTACTCCTCTATTTATGGCAACATCGTTTACGAGCAGTCCAGTCCAATTTTCTGTACATATTCTGTTGCATTTTGGCTGCATCCTTCATGGTACATATTTCTCATCAGACAGAGGTCATTGTAATATAAATGCATTAAAATTTCTATAAGGTTGACTCCCACTGGCTTGTCATTTTAACTGTATAAATTCAGTTACTGGCAACAAAATATGTTAATTGATGGTAACGGAGTAAAAAGAGTTCGTATTTTCATATCTTTATATTTGGCTTGTGTGCACTTGTTGTAATGTAGTAGTAAAATCAATTTGTCATTTATACAGCCAAATGCTTTAACATTGGAATGTTTTACTAAGTTCTTTACAGAAGGATTCTTGAAGAAAACTCAACATAGTGTGACATGAGGAGGTATTAGGATATGTAAGAAATTTTTAGAATCTGGAGGTGGAGAATTTTAGGAATGGAATTCAATGTCTTGCAGCTAAGGTAGTTAAGTGATTATAAAGTGATTAAAACTGGGAATATTGAAGAGGTCAGAATTGGAGGTGTGCAGAAGTTCTGAGGATGGAATGAGCGAACAGATGAGAGGTAGCAGGTGGCAAGGCTGTGTAATTTTAAAAACAAAGATGAGAATCTTAAAATGGCAGCATCTTGGGTCTGTGAGCCAGTGTAATTCAACACCACAAAGACACTGGTTGACTAAAACTTGATGCAAGTGTGTGAATGCTAGAATGTGTGCAGTAGTCCAGTAATGTAGAATTGTTTGCATGGTGAATTTTGCAGGGGGGGATCTCCACCAATGTTCTCATGAAAATTATAATTCTGTTTTTAAAATTGCTTTTAAGAAATTATTTTGGTGAATTCAAATTAAAAGAATTCCCAACTGGTTTTAAACAATCAACATTAACCCTTTTTGGTTTACACTTAGGTGAAAGATTGCAATGTGGTGGGCTCGAAGTTAATGTTCCTTTTGGATGATTTGCTATGGGTGCTTACTGACTCCCAGCTGAAAGCAATGATTGAATATGCACAGTCACTCAGTGAGGCCATGGAGAATTCAGCCAAGCAGCGGAAGAGAATGGCTCCAGACACTGAAGGGGTAAGTGCAGATGAGATCCAGCAGCTTGATTAAATTAACTTCCCAAGTAATAACTGAACTAAGTGGTGTGGCTTTTCTCATTGCAGTAAATCCAAAGTTGGGTTTCACCTGATAAGTGTCATTTGATTATTGTTGGTGGAATTATCTTTGCCTTTTTCTTCCAGATGCCCTCAAAGCCATAAGATGTTTTGTTTGTTTTTCCTGTTGCATTTTCATGGACACTAGACAATGAATTTCTGTTTTGAGACAGAAAAATAGTCATAGTCTCCTTGAACATGGCCATACATAATCTGACAGATATAATGGATTTTGTTTGGCTTTGTGAAGCAGAATTTATTGACAATAACTATGATTAAGCAGATTATAAATACGGGAGTACTCGGCAATGACATCTGTTATGTCTAAACAGCGTTATAGACCTTGTATGTTTCTCTTAGTTTTAATAAGCTATTCTAAAAAGGTGGTTCTGGAGTATCCTGGAAGTAAGTTAATGTTGTTTCATCAAACCGTGCATAACTGTTTAATGGATGCAATTGCTCTGGCAAAACACTTCAGAATCTGTACAGAATGTTGATCTGGAAAGCCTGTAAAGAGAATTACAGTAAAACTTATGCTGTTTACTTACTTTGTGTTTCAGATGGTGTTCAATTTTGTAGCCTTCAGTGTTTGAGCTGAAAACGTCTGAGAATTAAGTTTGGGTTTTTTTTTGGAAGTTTCTTCAGGGGGGCCTGGGTAAGAATTAGTGTACACATCCATTCTTGTGCTCAGTGTCTGTTAGAGCATCTTAATTGAGGATTTGATTTCCACCAAACAAAATGGACTTGCACACTGTGAATAAGCAGTGTGAGGCTACTGCCCTCTTGTGTCCTGAACTCGTTTGAAGTTTTCTGCTTGTGTGCTCCTTCAGTTTCTTTTGAAGAGAGGCTGAATGAATGTGAACTTTGTACCACATAGCTACCTGTCCTTCATTTAACCTTCATCTCCCATATATAAAATTGTTTAATTCCATATGTCTGCATAAATTTCTGTGAAGAAAAACTGGCACTAGTATTTTAGCTAAAACACACTTGTTATCTATGGTTTGATCAAATTGGCCTGACTTCAACGTCAACCTTTAATACTTAGCCAAGAATAGAAACATCTGGCCTAATTGAGCAATACCCCATTGAATTCTCACGGTTGGAATTATCATCATTAACAAAAATGCATATTAACCATTATAATAAGTGTTTATATTCAGCATGCTGGAATTGTCACCCTTTCTAAATACTAAGATGTAGCCCCAGGTAATGTAATCACCTGAATTTCCTGTTTTAAGAGTTAGCTAGTTTAGCTCTGTTATCACACTTTCAAGAAATATTATTGTACTGACAACAAAGTAGGAAGGGATACATTTTAACATATAATCTGTTTTCTTCATCCCAGGACATGTTTTGGATCTACGTTGCCACCTCCAGCTGAGACACTTTCAAAGTAATGTACATAGCGATGCCACTGCTAGCCTGCTGTTAAGAAATTTATAGGATTAGCCAGCAATATTAAATTTTTTTAATTAGTGGTAGGCAGTAAAAATAGATGCACCAGTTCCCTGACTTGGACCTGAACTTTTGAAACCTACAATTTGACCTTTTCTTGAGATCCTGTTTTGCTAGTTTTCACTGTGCCGTGTGCTGCAAGTTTGGAGCAGAAGCAGTTGGTAAACAGAATGAATGGATATTGTATGTCTTTGGGAGAGCAGTGAGTTTACATTTGCAAATATCATTAGAAGATGAAATTCGTAATGGAAAAACAAGTTCACGGTTGACATAAAACAGGGAGGCACATTGTATAGACCTTAAGACTTTTAAGGGATTTCAACTGTTTTACATGTATTGTGTGGAATGACAGGTTGGATCCTTAAACATTCAAAATATAAAGCTAATGTGTACTTTTTATGTGGAAAACTTGCTATAATGATCCCAACTGATGATGATAGTGGACAAGTCAGATCTGAGTGATATGTTGCTTGATAGATCATAAGTTTTGTTTTTGCAGTTTGATAATCTTAGTCAGTCAGTGAACATAATCACATGAGACAGTAAATGTTGTTTTCAAAAAAAAAAATCCAAGGTTATTGCACAAAAGAACAAGAAAGCAAAGGTACATGTATGACAAATTAGGAACATCATAAACAGCAAATAGTGAGGATGATATTTGTGTTTGATAAAAAGGAAGATTCAACCCCTTTTCCAGCAATATCGTTTACAGACAAACTACCACTGTGAAGTATCACTCCGATCTTAACTCCTTGATTTCTTTCCTGACTGATGAAGTTGCAAGCATATGCTTTCAATGGCTTCCTGTTATTATGATCTAGCGGCCCTAACTGTTATGGGGTAATGTCAGCTTGATGTTGATGCCGGACAAGTCAGATTCTCAACAGGAACCAGGCTGGATAGATCATATTTTTAAAAAGAGCACGCTATTCCCTTAGAAAACCGGTTCAAAGATGTTTAAATGCATAGAAATAACCCAAGCAGATAACCCTATATATCATAGAATCCTACAGTGTGGAAACAGGCCCTTCGGCCCAACAAGACCACACCACCCCTCAGAGCATCCCACCCAGACCCATCCCTCATAACCCACCTAATCTACACATCCCTGGACACTATGGGCAATTTAGCATGGCCAGTCCACCTAGCCTGCACATCTTTTGGACTGTGGGCAGAAACCGGAGCACCCGGAGGAAACCCACGCAGTCACGGGCAGAATGTCTGTCTGTGTGGAGTTTGCACAGTCACCCGAGAGTGGAATCGAACCCGGGTCCCTGGCACTGACAGGCAGAGATGCTAACCACTGAGCTGCCATGCCACCCAGAATTCCTTGTCAGCTACTTGCAACTCTGGCCCACAAATGGTTCAATGCGTCCTTCACATAAATCAAACCATTAGTTTTTTGAGCTGCGAACTTTGATATTGGCGCACTACAACCATATTCCTTGACAAAATCTGGCAATGTTGGGTACACTTCAAGCACTTTTGAAAAAAGCCTATCACATTTAAGCTGCTGATTCAGCATACTCACTGACTCCAGAAATAAGTCGCAGTCGTTATGTGCACAAATGATTATGCTGAACTGGAATTCCAAGAAATAATGTCTATCAGTTTTATCATACTATATGCTGACCCAGAGGGGTTGTTTCCAATACTGTGTCTCCCTGAGATACAGAAACCACTAGCTACTTCACCAAATTTTTCTAACTGAATTTGGAAGACAATATACCCTGTCTACTTAAACAGCTAAAACAATTTTAAAATTAGTTTGCAGCTATGAAAGTCTGGCACAATCTAAACTGTCCTTTTGCTAGTATGAAACTGTACTTCTCAACTGAAATCTGAATGTGGCCCTCGACTGTTTTTTTTTAGTTTGTCATGAAAGTTGAACTTTGAATTTCATCAGTTAGCACCTAGTTAGTTCTTCTGTTCATCTTGCTTTTGTTGTATGCTTTCTTGGAAATTATGTTTGAACCAGTGGTTCAAATTAGCTTTCTGACCTTTGTTTGAAAAAAAGAATAAGTCACCTTCATCTTGAGAGCCCATTTCAAAGTTTATGATTGGACCTGGGCAGAATAGACTGGATGGCAGGGTAAAACAGTAGCTGTGCAACTTTCGAAGAGGAGATGGATTTGACACAGTCGAAGTATATTCCTTCAAAAGAGCCAAGTAAGACAGATGAATGGATGACAGATCGAGATAGAAATTTAGTGAGGAAACAGTGTTTTATAACATGTCATATAGAAAAGTATAATGGAGAACCCACACAGAAGGGTCAGAAAGGTAAAAAATAACTGTCTTCTCTTGCCTTATTTTTAAAAAGAAAAGGGCTGGCTTTTAAAAGCCGAGAAATCCTGAAGTCTTCTGTAAGCACATCCGTAGTCGAAGGGTGGTCAAAGAAGTAGGGCTAATTGGTTAATGATAATGTTAAATTTGCCCTACTCATTTCAGTATTGACAATGTCTTGCGTGGGAAGCATAATATTAAAGCAGCCTGGAGGCTTCCTCAGGCTGGAATCTTGAGCTAAGCACAGAAGGAACTGTATTTCCTTAACCAATCAGACTGAAGTGTATGGAAATTGCCAGCATAAGGAATTGTAAATCAGAAGCATTCACATTGCCTATTTTGACAAAGTTCGGGAATGGTTTAGATTATGATTGTAAAACTCTTACTCATACAATTAAAACCTAGAGGGATGAGACTTATTCATTTTCATTGTAGAATTGGTCGGCTAGCAGTATTTGCTATTGCTAGATAGTTTAAGAATACTCTGGCTTAAAATGAAGACTTAACTTGCCATAAGTATCTACTATGCCAGGACAGAAATTTCACACTGGCAACAAAGTGATGATAGTGTATCTTTGAAAGAACTTTTCTCATTTTAGCACTTAATCGCCCATCAGATCTTGCCTCAGGTTGCATGGTATTTGTACCCAAAGATGAGGACTCAACCTGTCTTTCTTCAGAGTTTGGGATGTCTTATTCTTCTGAAATATGCAACCCACAGCTAATACGTGTGAGATTATAAGTGGCAATGGAGGAGATAATTAAAAGGTTAATTATTGTTAGACATTTCACTGGATTTAATTAGGTTTGATATAAAGCTGTTTAATTTAAGACCTTTTGAGCATTTATACAGTTTGACTCTACTTCATGCGTCCTGCTATTTAACTGTAGTTGACTTCACCTTTTTAAATATCTTTATAAATGCCTTCTCTACAGACAATTGGATCAATGCCTAGTGTCCATCAGACGCGAACCCAACCAGCTTCTTCAAGCAGCAGTTTGAACAGTATTAGTCAGTATTTTGATATGTATGATGTGAAAGAATCATCCTATCACAGTCATATCTCGCGCCTGGATTTGCACATTTGTGATGATGGTGCCTCTACGGAACAAGGTACAAGAAATCCATCATGTCTGCAGCTAATTAAATTGATACTTCACTGTATCATTTATGTAAGTTATGTACATCAGAAGTTACTGTGAGAAATAGGAGAAATGATAAAGTGGATTACTCTGATTCGGGTTTGAACCTCGATTGGGCAATGACCGGTTTTCATCCAAGGATGCAAAGCACTACAATAAATCTAATGTTTTAATAATGTGCAAGCTTTGTTTTAAAAAGAAAATTCCCTACTTTAGCTGAAGCTGTTTTGTAAAGAGCCAAGAGCTATTTTTGAACTGAAGATATGATTTGTTAGAGATTGAGATAAGAAGAAAGGGAAAAACAAAATGCAAATGTTGGAGCTGTAAGGTCCCTCCCAGATTCCTGTTATCTTTAATGCTAGTCCTTCAGTTTCCCCAATTAAAGTTCTGTCTCTGTTGCAGTTTATTCTTAACATATTTTGCCTTTATTGTGCAGGAGGATCTAAACATCGAATTGCTGGAGGAGCTATACAGTTAACATTCAGAAACTTGAGCCTCGATTATTATCCCTTCCACTGGGCAAGTGAGTGAATTCTGTTGCTAGAAGAACTAGCATGTATTTGAAGTGACTCAATACTCTGCAGTTGACTTTTGCAGCTGTAATTCACTATTCAGTACAGGATAGCAGGAGAAAAAGCTCAAATGGGAGCCAAAAACTAAGAAACTGAGAAAATTACCATTCGAAGCCTTTACTTTATTGTTTATCGTATTCAAGACAGAAAATACCCACAAAAAACGCAAGTCTGCGGTATAATGAGCCCCTGATTTGGGAAAGGGTGTGTATAAAATGACCTTTCATTTGCATATGTTACCAGACTGTTTGTTTGTTTATACTAGCGCACTTTTTTTTGTTGAAGAATTTACTCACTAGTTAAACTATTTAACGGGACCAAACCTCCCCAGCTCTGACTATCCAAATTAGAACTGGACAAACGAAAAGATGAGAAATAATTGCACATCCTCCCAACCAAGTTGCATAGGGAAGACAATGGCCCAGTAATATTATCACTTGACTGTTATTCCAGAGACCCAGACTCCAAATGTTCTGAGGATCCGGGTTTGAATCCTGCCACGGTAAATGGTGGAATTTGAATTCAATAAATATCTGTAATTCAGAGTCTAATGGCCATGAAACCATTATCGATTATCAGGAAAAACCCATCTGGTTCACTAATGTCCTTTAGGGAAGGAAACTGCCATCCTTACCTGGTCTGGCCTACACATGACTCCAAACCCACAGTAATGTGGTTGACTCTTAACTGTCTTCTGGGCGATTAGCAATGGGCAACAAATGCTGCCTAGCCAGCGACGTCCTCATACCTTGAATGAATAAGGAAAAAGAAATCTATTTTGAGGACCCGCACCATGCGGTCATGCAAGGTCACTTTGGCTAAACATGAGTGTGGGAGCTTCCACGTCGAAACTGATTTTGATATGGTACTGATTTTGTATATAGGATTCCAAACAGTCGTCCTACTCTGAAGTTATCACTGCTAGAAGATGATGTGTAGTATTCAGATGTTTTCAGACTTGACTTCAGTCTGAAGTGGTAATGAATTTATTATTCTAATTTATTCTGCTTGCAGATGATAGTTGCAAACATTGGGTTAGACATTGTGAAACAATGGAAGCTAGAACACGCTGGGCCAAAGACCTGCTTCAAGAGTTTCAGTCCAAAGTGCAGACAGTAATAGATCATCATGAGGATGCAACAGTTGTAAGATCACCAACAAAAGAATCTCCTGGCAAAAGAAAGGGTATGTGGTTTTGCTTTGAAGCTAGATTTCTTAAGTGTAACTTCCAAAATGGTCTGAAATTCTGAAAAATCATGTTGTATTTTATAACCATACCTTTTCAATCAAATAGAAAGGAGAGGGAAGTTAAAGTCAGAGCTTCTACTGAATTTCATGAGCAACTCAGTCAAGTTTTTTTTCTCTTTTTTTCCCTCTCCCACATCTGCCCACCTCATCATGGCTTACTTGACTATTTTAATTTAGCCTGTCAGCCCCATAAAGAAACTGGTTCGAACACGTGGGAAATAAAAAGAGCCCCTTATACACTGTTCAGACCCAAATTTCATTAGGATAATATTTATGCAAACCAAAAAAAATGATGACTTCGACTTCTAGGACAGTTTTCACAACCTCAGGCTGTCATTAAGTGCTTTGCCACTAACTAACTACATGTCAGTCAGGCCAGTTTGTGGTGTGATAAACCACAATTTTTGTTTAGCTTTTGCACAACAGTCTCTTTAGTCCTGCTCCCCATATCCCTGCAAATTCCTTCTACAACCTAACCACTCGTCGGTTAAAAATTTTATCCATCTCCCTTCAGCTTCTTTTGACAATCACATGAAATCTGTGTCTTCTGGTTCCTGGTGCTTGTGGATTTAGAAACATTCTATCAAGTTTCATGTTGTTTTTACTTTGGCCTCCAAAGAGAAGGTGTCAATGTCATTCTGCTTCCTTATCATGGAACCTTAATTTCTCGTCGCTGAAATGTACTAGTAACTGTATACCCTCCACAAAGCCTTCATTTTTTTTCCTGAAATGGGTGCAATATTCAATTTAGAGCAGAATTCATGTGTTATGTGGGTTAGGTACATAGCCCTTGCTTCTATACATTCTTGTGCAGAATCACATTGATTAAATCTATTAAATACAGTTAAAACCCAGGATCCCATGTGCTTGCTCAACTCCTCTGTTAGTATGTCGTCCTACTTTGAAAGGTTCGTGATGATGCACTATCAGATCTTGGTATGATTGCAGTCCCTTTTAATACAAGTTTAACTTGGATTATCTGTCTTAGTTCTTTTCACAAATGTGTTGCATTATGTCTGTGTTCGGTGTCTCACTCTGCAATTCCACAATGTTCTAAAATAATGTAGCATTGCTATTAATGAAATACACATGAAAGTAAAGAGATAATGTCCTTGTTTTGAGTCTTGTTAATTCAAATTTTTCTTGCTGCTGGAATTTTGCAGCATATTTGGCTGCCTGCCTGTAGATGGAGCATTTGTGAGCATGAGTTGACTTGTGGCTCTCAACTAAATCAGCTCATGACAACTCAATAGCATTACTATAACCTATGAACCTGGTACAGTAATTATTCTGTCTGTAGTTTGCAGTTCTCTTTTTTTCAAGGTTAAAATTTGGTAACATCAGAAAAACTTTCTGTATCAATGGAGGATGAAGACATGAAAGCCCATATCCAAGATGGGTGCCTGTGTCAGCCATCTGCAGTTGGTATTTCACCCACTTCTTCTTAAGCCAGAAGTTTACTCCTGAACCAGAGCACAAAAGTTAACACTGACTTGGCATTACAGGATGAAGAGTACTGCAGTGCTGGTGTTGTTATCTTTTGGGTAAGGTGTTAAGTCGAAGTGCCAATTTTGCTGCCTCACATAGGCGTATAAAAAAACCCTATAGCATTGTCATAAAGAAGAACAGGGAAGTTGTCACCAGTGTCATGGTCAATATTAATATTTCAGCTTCCCAAAAGAAAAATCATCTGATTATTATCACATTGCTTTTCATGGTACCTCACTGTGTCCAACTTGACTACTGCATTTCCCATGTTACAGCAGTAATTAGTCTTTGAACATACTTTGATCATAAAGCATTTTAGCAACTTCATGAAGTCTCCTGTTTATTTCTCATAATTGTAAAAGGATCAATAAATATAATTAATTCCACTGCTCAGTTTAGTATTTGCATCATCAATGGGAAATATGGATTAAAAAATTAAGTTCAATTAGCATCTCTATGTTTAAATCTAGGTAATGAATACTTGTGAATTATGTGACATTTCAACTTGATCTAACTATGTATTCCAATGTGTTGTCTATTATTGAAAACTGAACAACAGAACATAAAGGAAATATATATTGTGACCTGGATTTTGAACCTTCTTGAGCTTTATTTCAATCATTGGAATTTTTCGATGAAACTGAAATGTGTGTCACAAAAATGTGAACAGTATTTATAAGGTTTGTTTTTGTAGTAAGTAGGCATAGCAACCTTTTAACAAGATCACACAAATAAGCTAACTGATCAAGTCTGTTTTTCCTGACATTGATTAAACGAGTTTTACCCAGAACACTGAGGAAGTTCTCTGCTATTGTCAGTAATGCTTTGGGATCTTCAACAGGTATGGGATAAACTGAAACAAGCAAACAGGACTGCTACTTGGATAAATAAGCATACAGAAAAAGAAATGTATTTCTACACAGCTAACACTTAATTACAAGGCATACAATTCATGTGCACAAACTAAGTTTACTGGCATTAAATTACTACTGCTTAGATTTCCTATTATAAATCGTTGAATACTTCAATTGTTGAACAAGAAAATGCTTCAGCTTATCTGGAGTAGCCTGTGCTTTTCATCTTCTCAGGAACTCCCAGTGCACTGCACTATGAATTTCAGTTCTCCTGGAAAAAGTGACTGCTAATGAACATATACAACGTTGCTGCATAAACAATGACTTGTATAAATCAATTATTTTAGCAAATGATAGAGAATGAATATTGGCCAGGGTGCTGGGAGAACGTAAATGAAATGCTCCAAAAGACGTTTTTCCCATTCAGTAATATTGATACTTTGTGATAAAGTTTGCAGATGTATATGCTGAGTAGACTATTGTACCACTTGGCAAGATTTGTCTTAGTTTGTGTCTCATTTGTAATGTGTAATTTGTTTATAATTAACTGCAATTTTCCTACTAATTCATGTTCAATTTAAGTGGTTATCTAAGCTAATATTTGGTGTTTGCTATGCTTGATTCTTTCATTGTAAAAAAAACTTCTGTTTTTAAACAAAATTTTGAGGCTTCACTGTTTTGGTAAATAACTGGGGTTCAGATGTCAGTTTTTGAAAAAATATATAAAAGTGCTGGAACAAAAGCAGAAATTGCTGGATAAGCTCAGAACTCTGACGAAAGGTCACCAGACCCAAAATGCTAATTCTGATTTCTCTTCACAGGCGCTGCCAGATCTGCTGAGCTTTTCCAGCAATTTCTGTTTTTGTTTCTGATTTACAGCCTCATCAGTTATTTCAGTTTTTATAAAGCTGCTGGTCTTGACAGAGGTCTCAAGACTTGAATATTCTAGGTCTGCTCTCCATTGTTTGACTGATTTGAGTTCGTGTTCTGAGCAAAAGCTTTTCTTCTCTATCAAAAGAAACTTAATGACTTTGAAATAACTTGAACAAACAAGGTTGTTTATTTTTTCCCCCAAGTATTATATTTAAATTTTCAATGCAGTAGAAATAGAACTGAGAAGCATGGATTTGATTTGCTCCTGGATTCATATCGTACTGTACGAGTGATTACTGTCCAAATAAAGTTTGAATTCTTGGAGAACATACCTTAGCCAGGTGATTCTCATTTCACACAAGGCAGCTCTGGTGTTAAGAGGGTGGAAGAATGAATGGTTTGGATTGGTCCACGTTGACCATTATGCACACTATAAATGTATTCTGATATCAAATTGGCAACAAAATTTAATCTTTCATATTAGATCCCAGACTGAAATCTGGCTTGTACAGTGATATCAGCTGGTTTTATGACACTTTGTACAAAGTCAGTGATTAAACTTCCACAGACCTATGGGATGATAGAGTATTTCAGTAAAGCAATTTCTCGTTATTGGAGTCCTAAATGGCTGACTCCTTGTATTAAGACCAGATGATGTGGTTCTTGGCTGTCCAATCACAGTAAATGTCCTCTCAACACCTACGTAGTTAAGCCATAAGAATTCAGTACTTTTTAGGTATATGACCTCTCATTCATTCAGCTAAACAGTCAAGAGTGCAGATTCAATCTACCCTCAGGACAGTCCTCACATTCGAAGGAATCTGTTGAGTGAATAATCATCTCCCCTCCAAAGTGAGTATTTCCATTCTTGGGCAAGAAGGCCAAACACTCATCCAGGCATGGTCTCACCATAGCTTTATATGATTGAATACAGGACCTTAGATGACTGAGGCAGAGGTTGTTGAATTCAGCAATTGATTTTAAATAGCTGATCTCTGAAAAGGATCAGTATTTCTTTATGAAGTATTGATTGTTAACTGGTAATCCTTGGGGGGGTAGCAGAAGCGTGTCACTGAAGTGAAACTTGTACCCAGAGCAGCTTTGATACTTAACCTTGTTGGTTTATGTACCTTCATGGAGAGCTATTAGAGAACATTTTGCTCATGGGAGATGTTCAGAACAATGATATGCTTTGTTCAGTACTGGTTAAAATATTGATGATTGCAATTGCCACTCTCTCTTGTTTTCTTTACAGCAGGGTCACCAACTCGAAAAGTAATTGCTGGCAAAAGACGTGCAAGTGATCAGTCGGCATCAGCTGCTAATTCTGATTCTCGGCAACCGCCATGGAACAGGCTGCGCTCCAGCTGTGTGGTCATCCGCATTGATGACTTGGATGTTTATCAGGTAAGGAGGGGGTGTTTGATTTTTATCTTCTTGTAATGCTGCTGATACCGGAACATCTGTTGATTGTATGAGCTTGGGAATACTTAGATTTTCAAATTAGGGAACACTGTCCTTTCTATTGCACTTGTGGTTGTGATGAGTAATGACTAACATTTCCCCCTAAGGCATACAACCACATAGCCACACTGAGGTACCCTGCAGTGTCATTGCCAGCATTGACTTCCAGTTTTGGAGGTTCCTGCCACACTTGGATCTTGGAGGTCCATGCAGAAGAAATTGAAAAGGTTAGAAGAAACATAGGGTAATGACTTTTAAATGGAAAATTATAATTGCCGTCAGTTCTATTTACCTTAATAACCTTAGTTAATAGCAAACTCCACCTGGTGGACAAAACATATTACTTGTACTGTCTTAATGTCACAAAGATGTAAAGTTCTGAATAGGCCTTTCTCTGAAGAAGTAATAATCCCAGATTTTTTGAATTTAGATACCATTGTGGTGATATCAGGGATTACGATAGACTTGTACTGCGTCTTACGTGCTTGTCAAGCTTAAAATCAAACAGGAAGTTGATCTGTATCACTTTTAATGACCTCCTAAAGTACAGGGAGCTACAAACAAGTACACAAAGCAACTGGCTGCTGCCATCATTTGGAGTATAAACTGTTACTTAATTAGCTTTTTTATAGCAAAGTACTTCCATCAGTAAATTCAATTAGATTGAGAAACTGCCATATTTGAGCCTTGAATGCCACTTAATAATCCTGAGATAGTAAGTGTTATGGCGTGGCACCCTAGTTTGCCTTTGGAGGGGGTTGGTTAGCTCAGCTGGCTGGATGGCTAATATGTGGTGCAGAGTGACACCAACAGAATGGGTTCAATTGCCACATTAGCTGAGGGTACCATGAAAGTTGCACCTTTTCTACCCTGCCCCTCACCTAAGGCACACTGGCACTCTGGTTAAACCACTACCACAGGTTCTCTCTCTCAGGGGAGTGCAGTCCTATGATTGGGAACGCTTTTATTTATCTGTTGTGCTGTCTGTCTTTCTGTCTGTCTGTAACTCAGTGCAGGAATGCTTCGGTGCACCCTTTCCTGCTAATCTAGCTTTGAAGCTAAACTGCTTTGACAAACAAAAACTACAGTTACAGCTTAAGGAGTTAAACTGTCTCTGATCCTTGAGATTTATAACGTGCTCATAAAATTGGTATGGCAGAGTTTCTTAGAATACAGGCTGGCTACTAGACCAAAGTGTATTTAATTCAGCAGCACACAATGTCACATTCCTGAGCATCAACACTCTCTAAGGCTTGGATATTAAACCTTTTCCTTTTGTCAAGTACAGACCAGGATTTTGTGGTAACAATTTTAGAGAGTGAATGATTTTTGTTTTTGGAGTCTTAGTTTGTTATGCACTACGACAAAAATAATTTCTTTGTCTATTTAGATTTCATAAATGAGCGTGTTCTACATGGTGAAGACACTTCTGTTCATTATGAAATCATCTTCGTCTGTCTTGTTGAACTTCACCTAATTTTAAATGTTCTGAAATGCTCCTTGAATCTATCTTATCGCTTCTGCCAGCCATGATTGTAATTGTCCATTCAAAATAAAAGTCTGACCTTTTGATCCTGTTTGAATTTTATCCTCAAACTGATTCTTCTCCCTTTGCAAAATGTTATTTTTTTTAAAGTAATTGTCAATCACTAAGCAAGACATCCTCTTAGACCATTGAGGAAAAACGGTCACTGGACTCAATGTTTTCCCCACTTCTCTCCACAGACCTGCTGAGTTTTTCCAGCAATTTCTGTTTTAATTTCTTAATCCACGTGCTGGATCATTCTTCCTTGAGTCACTGTGCTCTGTTCAGTGCTGGTGCCTGATTTGAAGATCTTCATTTGATGCTACTGGCATCTATCTGTCTATTCTGTCAACAGACATTGAACGTTTTTGAGATGCTTGCTGCAAGTTACTAAAATGAGCCCTGTCATAAATTTAAATTTGATGCAAGAGTCCAATCTCCATCCTTAACTAGAGCTTATCAACGTGAAAGCAAAATACTGCAAATGCGAGAAATGTGAAAACAAAAAGAGTGCAGAAAATACTTAAGTCTGGCAGCAAGTGTAGAGAGTGAAACAGTTACTGTTTGAGGTTCTATCTGATGAAAGATCATTTGACCTGAAGTATTTATGCCACAGATGCTCCCAGATTGCTTAGTATCTCCAGCAATTTAGTTTCCATTCTTTAATTACAGTTCATTCAAGGCTCATGAGCATGGGGACCAGCTATTATTTATGTTAGCTGAGCAGTTGGAAGAGTGCTTTTTTTGATTTCAGTTTAAACCCTACTTACCTGTGCAATGTGTTGATGAGCTACATAGGTGAAACAACTAATGTGCAATAATTTAAGACAGGTTTTTTTCACAAGGACACAATTTGGCAAGTAGTGAGGGTGACATAGGGAGTCGACAGAGAGATACAGTTTGAGTGACCATAATTTTGGCGTATGAAATATAATGTAGGAAAGCATGCGATTATGGATTTTGCAGGAAGAACAGAGGATGTAGTATTTACGATGGGGTACAATTGCAGAAAGCTGCAGTACAGGGGAATTTTTGGGTCTTCTTGCATCGGTCACAAAAAGCTAGCATCTGGGTTCAGTGGTCGATCATTGTCAAAATGTAATGATATAATGAGAAATGGAATAAGGTTATGTCCTCAGTAAGACCCTGTAAGTCATGTTATAGCACCTTCAAGTCAAGGATTCTTGGTCTTAGTGTTATGAATTCTGTCATGCATCTTGTGTTCTCAATGCATTTGTGCTCCAGTTTTTAATGCATTAATCTAAATTTCTATCTAAATTGGTCTTTTCTCTATTCTCATCTAGTTGCTAACAATTTAATGACTGCTTCTTTTACCAGAATACAATTAAAACTGTTTACAGTTTTAGGTGGTGAGAGGAAGTAACTGTTACCACTTGTAGATGTGTTTCTCAATTTAGTCAGTGATGTGATCCTGGATCTCCAAGTGTAATTGAGAACCTGAAATAGTTGGTGACTAACTTTTTTGAGTTACTCCATCTTTTTCTAGCCCCTATTTTCTATTTTGATTAGATGATGGGAGATAGTTCAGGCGGTGATTAAAGATTTGTTTTCAACCTAGACCTGTCCTTCCAGGTTGCCCCACATCAATCAAATTTGAATGCTCATTACTGGAAGAATTTGTTTTCTTGTAATCTGGCAAGATGCCACATGTTCGTATTATAGACTATCATCCTTGCTGCCACTCATCTGTTGATTCGTCTAGTCGCCACCATCCTGGGGAAGGTTCTGTAATGAAATGGTTTAATAAAGAAAAAGATGATCCACTTGAATATTTTGATTAATAGAATATCGATACTTCAATTTATTTAAGGTGTCAGCTGCAGGTCAGCATAGCAAGAAGCCAACAACGTTACTTTCCTGCAACAGGACATCTTACCATCTTCCAGCTGGCATGTCAGCAATTCACATTGAATTCACCGAATACTATTTTCCTGACAGTAAAGAATTTCCTGGTAAGGTTATTACAGATAGATAAGTAACTTCGCAAAATATGTAGTGAATTTGGCATTCATGTTTGATATCATTTGTCTTGTACAATGTGACCTGTTTTATAACTGTTGTATTTGGTAAAATTTGACAATCTTGTTACATGCCAATTACAGAAGTGACAGAGGTCTGAGACTGACAAGTTGATAGTACTGAAAACAACAAATGCTGGACATCACAGCGGGTCAGACAGCATCTATGGAGAGAGAGCAAATTACTGTTTTGAGTCTAGATGACTCTGAAGACTCAAAACGTTAGCTTGCTCTCTTTCCATGGATGTTGTCTGACCCGCTGTAATCTCCAACACTTGTTGTTTTCAGTGCAGATTCTGGAATCTGCAGTAACTGCTCCTAAATTGATGATAGTGATGGGACAAGTTCATGTTGATTTTATACTGCAGTTATAATGGATTAGGAATAAATATTTTATTCTCTTTATACCTAAAATTGAATTGAGCAGATCAAGCAGCATCACTCCTCCATTTGTGTGCACTATGCAACTGGAAAACTATGATCAAGGTATTTCTTCATCTGCCAACTGTACAACATTAATTATTGCAAGATTTTATTTTATAGGCATTTCGCAGAATTGTGAATTCAACTCTTGTCTCTTTGAAGGAGATATTCAATTAATCCTATTTCTGTCTTTTACTCATTGTCATGCATATTTGTCCTTTTACAACCATAAATCCAATCCTGTATTGAAAATTGTTGAATCTGTTTCCGCCATCCGTTTATAGGCAGTGCATTCTAGATTGTAACTTCTCAGCCATGAATTACATTAGTCAGTCTAAAGATGATGCAATGTGTCTAAGTAAATTATTTAGGATGCTTCCTTTTTTTGAGGCAGTATGTCTTGATAACAGAATGGAAATATTCCATTGAAATCGAACTGGTTGAAGATTGTGTACGTAATTCATCAACAGCTGACAAGTTAGGGTGGGTGAATTAGTTTTGACTACTCATCCGTTAACAATGTTCTCTGTCCGGTCTATGACAACAATATTTTTATGCCTTCTAACACTGGTCCTTGTCTGGCCACTGAGTTGGAATAACAATCTATATGGAAATGTTGCCATAATCTAGTAAAATTAGACTGCCAACAGAAACTATCTTTATTATCCTTGATATTTAGGGTAGTGTGGAGGATAGATCATTGAGGATTATCATTAATATCCTCCCATTTGAAATGTTGCCTGTCCTCCTGAGGGCCACATGCTATAACCCTGATTTGTCAATCTAACCATCAACCTTAACATTTAATCCTGTTTATGCTTATAATGCAGATTGGGATTTAGTGTTTTGAGAGCACACTAATTTGGAAATAGCTGTTTTAACTTTGTCCATGTTTTGGAATTTAAAATGTGAGACACTGAAATGGGTTGTGTCAGCAACTTGTAATATTTTCAATTTAAGGGCAGTTGTGGATATTAAACGTGATAATTAGTTTACAAGAAAGTATACCTGGTGTGGCACATACATGTTGGGCACCTTCATTTTTCTATATTTGATAGTATTTATATACTACTCTACTGGGACACTTTACTTAATAACCATTAGGTGCAATAAAGGCCATGGGTGTTTTATCAGAACTGGACGATATGTTTTCATTATATTTTAACGAATTAACTACAGATTATTCTGTATTTTTACCATCGTGTCACCTTGAAGCAATATGTTATTCTTTGCTTTACTTTTATATCTTTTTGTCCCATTTACAGTGCCTTCTCCTAATCTTTATGTAAAGCTCAATGCCTTGCAATTTACACTGGATCCAGTCAGCATGCTGTGGATGAACTCCTTCTCTTTGGATTTGTATCAGACACTACAGCAGTTTAAAGCCATTTATAAACTGAATAATTCTGTGAAAGTGGATGAACATGTTGACTTTTGTATGAACGGACTCATGTTGAAGGTTAGTTGCTATCGTAGACTGTTGAAGTTAGTGTTTAAAATTTGATAAGAATGTGCTATGGAATCCTGTAGGAAGTAATGACTGTCACCAATTGCTGAATTAAAACAGGCACATGCTGAAATGTGCTGTGATGCCAGGTATGGAGGCTGTATGTCCCAAAAACTGGCACATTGTTTTCAATGGCACGTCCCTTTGGTTTTTTGCAAGGTACTGATGGCATCCAGCCACACTCACAAGTGTCCAAAATTAGATCTGGTTCCACAATTGATAACTTCTTTTGAATAATCCTTATTGTCAGCATAATTTTTGGGCAACCAATGTTGAATCTTCAGTTGGACCACCAGTATGATGAACTTAAAGGTACTCAAAGGTACATATTAATGCACAGGGCCCTGTTCTTTGTAAACAGGGCAAACACGTTTGTCCTGTGCCATTTTCAATTTGACAAAATAGGTGGCAGCCATTCACTGGTTTATTTGTCAGCGCAATATGCCCTGACAAAGCCTGGCAGTGAACTATCAGTTATTGTTAACTGGTACATTGTCCATCACACACTCTCTCTCTTTTTAAAATGTCTCTCCTAAGTACAGTCTACTATCAACCAATCAGCACACTCAATTCATGGAATATAAAAGTTGGTTTTCCCCTTAGACTTGTATTCTTGTGAACTATTCTGATTGTAAGATTAAAAAGCTTGGACAAAGTATCTTTAGCAAAATATAAACACATGACAAAAGGAGAATATGTTGTTTCTACTTGATATAGATGAATGTGGAGACAAGTTACTGGTCCTCGAAAATACCTCGTATGAAAAAAACACTCCAACTCAATATAAACCATGGTGTGCAGATGTGTTGCTGTGTGTTTAAATTTTGGGTTTTTTTCCTGCACATTGATTTTTCTGATTTGAAAAATGCTTATATTTGAAAGATTTGGTGCAATAATTTGTGCATTAATCATGATGGTACAAGTGAAAATTATTGTGCAGATGACATAAAGAACTTTATTCATGTCATGCCACACAGGTGCATTGAAAATTTATCTGTGATACCAAGCCATGTAAGAAATATTAGGTCAGATTACCAAAAGCTTTCTCAACAAGAGGTTTTAAGCAGTGCCTCTAAGGAGAAAATTGATTTCGGGAGGGGTAGGAAGCAAGTTCAGAGCTAAAGACCAAGACAACTAACAGTCCAGCTGTCATTGGTGAGATTATTGTAATTGGATGTGCTCAAAAGGCCAGAATAAGATCAGTGCGATTCTTCTGAAGATTGTGGTGCTAGAGCAGATGAAGCTGTGGAGGAATTAGAAAACAAGCATGTGAATTTTAAAAGCAAAGTACTGCAGATGCTGGAAATTGGAAATAACATTGGAAAAACACCGCCTCTATTCTTCCTATCCAAGTGTAAAGCCTCCTGTTTTCCCACATTACATTGTCCGAAGTGCTTTCTGGGTGCTAAATTGCCAAAAAGGTGCAGTTCGATAAAGTTATCATAGCATTCTCACTTGCTTGGAAGAGGTATTAAATCACAGCTTGACAGAACAAGCAGCAGTGTACAGAAGGCCAGCTCCAGTTTTGTTTTGCTATTTGCTTCAGTGTTAAAATTTCATATTTATTTTGTGAAGTTCAAAATAGATGAATAAAGTTCTCAACTCTGGAGTAAAGCAAGACTTTCTACTCTCTGAAAAGAGGTGTAGATGGATATTTTTTGAGGAGGAGGCGGAAAGGCGAAATCAATAAAATGACTTTTTTTTTCTTGTACAGGAATTAAGGTCATGTGAAGTGATATTGTTCAGAATTTGCTTGACTTCATAATTTGACCCACAAACAATTATTAATTTTTTCCTCTTTATTTTGCAGTTCATTATTCCTGTGGACAAGAAGGTAATGGCTCATCCAGACAGACCACAATACCTCACCATTCAGACTTCAGATGTTGTAGCTACAAACACCCGTCACTCTCTAAATTGCACACACTCCGATCTCCAAATGGTGCTAAAAGCCTTCAAAGACTTTGAATTCTTTCATGTGTCATATAAAGAGTTCCCTAAATATGCAGACAGTTTTGATGTGCTGCAAAATGTTTTCTTCCTTCATGCTTTTGAGCAACAAATCAATATGGACAGAATACACACACAAAAGAACTGCACCTATGATGTATTGAAGACATTGTCAGCTGCAGACATTTGGTCGCTCCATTTTTCCCTGCTGTGGTTGGACTTTGAAGGCATGGAGAGTTCAAAGGGCAAGCCTTGGAATTTTGTGGATGCCTTTCCCCTTTCCATTTGGGTGTCCCAACCATCTAAGTTTCAGAAAGCCAAGGAATTATCCAGCCATTCTGCATCTGAATATAGCACTGATTTAGAGGATTGCAACACTAGTTTGGGCCACAAACTGAATTTGCTCAGTTGCAAAGAATCCCTTGGAAATGGATTACAGGCTAATACAAAGCAGGATTTTATGGGAGCAGATGTGCTCAGATCTTCTAAAGGGATTGGAGAGCAAGGAAAATTGAGAGAAGCCAGCACAAAGGATGATTCTGAGGCAGATGTACATGTTCTAGTGTACAGCACTGCCCATGTAAAAGCACATATAAACCATTACCATTACCTTGTTCTACTCAGATTGAAGGAGTGTCTCATTCAGCTACAGGAGGACCTCAACCAGGATGTGGAAAAGTTGACTAAAAATCCAGTTAAATCTGGCAGTACTTGCATAGGGTTGTTGATAAAGAGTGCAGAAATTGCTTTACTGCTTCATCCTGTACCAGCCAGTCATGATGATGTCAAATCCCGGGAATCTGAAAGCACAAGTCTCGCTGAGTCAGAACTTTCACCTTCTGGAAGTAAAGAGAGTCTGATCATGGAGGTCAAACCTTTGAACAGAGCAACAACTGATCAACTGGACACTACCATTAATTCTATGGATGACAGTGGGATTCACAATGGGGATTTAAGTATTGCCACCTCATTAGATCTTGGTGTTTTGTCGCAAGATGGTATGCTTGTGAGCAGTGCTCCTGTTTCTAATGCTAAAGAGGTAGCGGAAAAAGGACTTGTGGAGGAAGCATTTGAAGCAGTGGAGTCACTAGAGGCTGAACATTCTGGAGATGTCATTGATCACTCTACGTCTCACCCCACTTTAGCCACAAGCACACCTTTGATTTTAGACCCACAAAGAAAGAGCAGATCATCTGTTGATAATGTCCAGACTGATCCTGTTCCATTTGAGGATGTTGATTCAACGCCATTGACTGTAACCAAGGATGTTGCAAAAGAAGCTCTGCTCATAACTGTGGATTTCACTAAAGAAGCTGTTTGTCTCACAAAAGATGCTTTCAGTCTCAGCAAGGAAAAGATGGCAAGCACAATGCAAAAGATGCTTTCTCTGTCATCCTCTAGGTAGGCTCAAATGGTTTTCAGGCTGTGATTATTATATCGTTATGGTTTACGTAAATGTCTCTGAATACTGATCTAAGTATAAAACTTTATGTATTTGTTTTGCTTTTTGTATAACCTTTAAGTTAAGACTTTTGCAAAACAAAAAAAGAGTCCAGTGGATGCTAATTCGATCATCTTTGTCAAGCGTTTTGAATTGCTATAATAAGGTGTAGAGCTGGATGAACACAGCAGGCCAAGCAGCATCAGAGGAGCAGGAAAGCTAACTTTTCAGGTCTAGACCCTTCTTCAGAAATGGGGGAGGGGAAGGGGATTCTGAAATAAATAGGGAGAGAGGGGGAGGCGGATAGAACATGGATAAAGGAGAAAATAGGTGGAGAGGAGACGGACAGGTCAGAGAGGCGGGGCTGGAGCCAGTAAAGGTGAGTATAGGTGGGGAGTTAGGGAGGGGATAGGTCAGTCCAGGGAGGACAGACAGGTCAAGGGGCGGGATGAGGTTGGTAGGTAGGAGATGGGGGTGCGGCTTGAGGTGGGAGGAGTGGAGAGGTGGGAGGAAGGACAGATTAGGGAGGCGGGGACGAGCTGGGCTGGTTTTGGGATGCGGTCAGGGGACGGGAGATTTTGAAGCTTGTGAAATCCACATTGATACCATTGGGCTGCAGGGTTCCCAAGCGAAATATGAGATGCTGTTCCTGCAACCTTTGGGTGTCATCGTTGTGGCACTGTAGGAGGCCCAGGATGGACATGTCGTCCAAGGTGTGGGAGGGGGAGTTGAAATGGTTTGCGACTTGGAGGTGTAGATGTTTGTTGCAAACCGAGCATAGGTGTTCCACAAAGCGGTCCCCAAGCCTCTGCTTGGTTTCCCCGATGTAAAGGAGGCCACATCGGGAACAGCGGATACAGTATACCACATTAGCAGATGTGCAGGTGAACATTTGTTTGATGTGGAAGGTCTTCTTGGGGCCTGGGATGGGGGTGAGGGGGGAGGTGTAGGGGCAGGTGTAGCACTTCCTGCGGTTACAGGGAAAAGTGCCAGGGGTAGTGGGGCTGGAGGGCAGTGTGGAGCGGACAAGGGAGTCACAGAGAGAGTGGTCCCTCTGGAAAGCAGATAAGGGTGGGGAGGGAAAAATGTCTTTGGTAGTGGGGTCAGATTGCAGATGGCGGAAGTGCCAGAGGATGATGCGTTGGATCCGGAGGTTGGTGGGGTGGTACGTGAGGACGAGGGGGATTCTGTTTTGATTATTATTGCGGGGAGGGGATGTGAGGGATGAGTTGCGGGAGATGCAAGAGACACGGTCGAGGGCATTTTCGACCACTGTGGAGGGAAGTTGCGGTCCTTGAAAAACGAAGACGTGTGGGATGTCCGGGAGTGGAATGCCTCATCTTGGGAGCAGATGCGGCAGAGGCAGAGGCCGCAGAGGAATTGGGAATAAGGGATGGCATTTTTGCAGGAAGGTGGGTGAGAGGAATTGCATTTTGAATTGCTGTTGTATTTTCACTGCCTCCAGGTAATGTAATACAAACTGTACAACCCAAATTGTTCAAACAAGTACATCTTATAACATTTTCCTTAAATTTTAAGGGTTGTTTCTCTGTTCTCCTTCCATACCCTGCCCAATCATCATGACATGAATGTACCTTTTAAAGCTAAAAAGAGATAATGTCATAATTCAAAACCTGCTGCTATGGATTGATTCCTTTGCAACTTGTCCTTACTCCGGATTGGCTCCTTTTTAGGTTTCTTTGAATAGCCAACTTATTCCCTCTCCCCCTCAAAATGAAGTTTCAAATATTGATTGCTTTCCCATCAACTATGTGCGGGCTAAGAGTTAGGGTTAGACCTTAGTTTCCACAACGGAGTAAAAATTAGTTCATTCTCTGATTTCTGCATGTAGAGCCCTGCTCCAAAGCCTTGACTGACTCTATTTGAAGCCAGCTACAATTTAAAGATTGTACCATCATGCTACCACGCCCTCTTTATTGAGGAAGGCTCTTGGCTGAATAATATTAAATTACCCTCAGCACAGTTGGGATTTGATGATGAGCAACCAGAACGTTTTGCAGATATTGTTTTTAGTAGGGGTTGTGGCTGAAGTTTCCTGAAAATATTCATGGTTGTCAAGTGTTTTTTTTTGGTGTCCATTTAAATCATCAACCAACTCTCACAATATGGTTAATTTCTGCTCCAGTAAAATGGATTCTCTGGTATTTTAAATTACTCAACACTTGGGAGGCGTGGTCTTACGGGAGTACTTAAGTGAAGGCATTCAATAGACCTAAAATTGGAAACCAGCGCCCTGCTCTTCAGGATGTTTAAAATCCAATGCCTTCAGAATCTTGCATGTTTCAATAAAATCCTTCACCATTCTTCTAAACTCTCATAAATTAATATGTGTAACCTGTTCATCCCTTCTTGATCAGTCAACCTCCTCATCCCAGGAATCGGTCCAGTGCGTCTTTTTTTGAACTGCCTCCACTGCCAATTCATTTTTATTTAAGTATGGTGACCAAAATTGGGCTCAATACCTACGATCCAGCCTCGCTGATATCCTGTGCAGTTCTAACAAGACTTTTCCTTTCAGTTACTTGCTGCACTTGCATGCACGTATTCTTTCTGCACAAGAACATCTTGATGCTTCTATGCAGCATTTGTTTCGAGTTTCTCTCCATGTAAATAATTGCCTTTTGATTCTTCTTACGAAAGTGCATGACATCCCACTTTGTCACACTAAACCCCATCTACTAGGTTCTTGCTACTCACGCAAGCTGCCCTTACCCCTATTTTTGTATCATCAAATTTGGACACAGTACACTCTGTGACAA